TACCTCATGAAGATTCTGGAAGAAGTACACATACATGGAAGAAGACGTACAGTGTGTGCTGGGGAAAAGAAGGTAATAGAAAAGAGCTAAATTCTGTCTTTTAGTAGGAAAATTTTTATTAAGTTTGTGGGTACTGAGGACTGAATCCAAGGGCTTCACATTGAGCTATATCCCCAGCCCTTTTTATTTTGAGACAGAATCTCACTAAGTAACTAATATGCCCAGGCTGGGCTTGAACTTTCAGTCTTCCTGCTTCAGGTCTCAGAGTGCTGGGATTACAAGCATGCACCAGCTTGGGCTAATTAATCTTAATTGTAACTTGACTAGATTAAGAGACTCCTAGAGAGGTGACTGGATCATGGTGGTACTGTACTCATAAATGGATTAATCCACTGTTGTTCCCAGGTGAATGTGCTCTTACGTGATGGGGCCCAGATGGATGTGGTGGGTCATTAGGTGGTGGTGGGGACTGCCTCTGGAGGGTGTAGCTCTCAGTACTCTTTCCAACTTGCTTTGCTTCTAGGCTGCTATGAACTAAGCAGTATGGCTCACCAAAACCCTTCTCTCATGATGTTTCTGGATTGTAGCCAGCTAACCATGGACTGAGACCTCTGAAACTGTGAGCCAAATATACCTCTCCTTCCTTTACATTTTGAGTGTCACGTATTCCCCAGCAACAGAAAAGCTAATACAGAAGCTAAAATAACAAGACCTAAGACATTTCAAAAGCAGGATAAGCATTTTATTTACTAATAAGATGACTAATTATCAAAAGAAATTGTTAAAAGAGTTGAAAATAGTTGCACATGGTGAAAAAAGCATGGATTTGGTGAAGGGTTAGGTAAGGAACTGTTATTTTTCACTTGTAAGATATTATATGACCTTTAATATTCTGTCTGATCTAATTTAAAACCTAATTCAAAATGAATTACATATTCTCACTAATGGATTAAATATATTCCTGTTAATAATTACACCCAGTGTTAAATGTGGTAGCTTGCACAAAATCAATCTGCTTAGTGTAAAACACAAAATTATTTTACAAAGAAAAAATTTTAAGTCTTCTACCATTCAAAAATTATTTAATGTTCTCCTCAAAATGTAGAAATTCATGAATAATTAATGTATTTGCTTAAAAGTCATTAATATCATTAAGACCTACTTTTTATGAAATACAATTGGATTTTTCCAAAAATCTTAGAAATTAGACAGTATAGGCATTGGGCCTTTTAAACTATCTTCTTACTAGAAGAACCACAGATAAAAGCCATATTTACTTTGATATCATGATTCAATTAAATAAAACCAATAGTTCAAAAGATATAGGAGGATATCTTTTCCTCCAGATGCTTATACCTGATAATGTAACTTGACTCATTCGCTTTCTGAATTATAACCATTTTGTATACTTTTGACACTGCCTAGACTGTTCTTTATCATCTCTAAACATGCTCTGACATTTCAAAAAGAAGATTAATTGTATTTAAATGTCTTAACTAAGATAATCTGGAAACCCAAACATATTAGGTTCTTTTTTTCCTGTTACATTTAGAAAACACAAAGTTTTATATCTACTTATTGTGTATTCAAAGTAGAAAAAATTCAAGAAAATTACTGCAAGAAGATTGCATTAATTATGTACTTTTAGTTTCAACTGTAATAGTTTATATAGCTAATGGCTGAACTGAAAGAAATCACTTCTATATGGAGTAGACTGGACACGTGGAAGAGAGACCACAGTACAGAGGTTCTAATAAAGAACAGTATATGGGCACTGGGTCCAAAAGTGAAGGCTTCAGAGAGGTCAAAAAGAGCTGGGACAGGAACAATGACATCTATTCACAAAATGGTTCCACCAGGTCTCACCCAAACACCGAGTGTTTTACATTTATAGCTGTCCCTGTGTCTGTTGGGAACATGACTGTGTCTTTCAGTGGCTTCATAATGCAGAGAAAGCCTCCAAAGATCCCCAGCTATTACCACACCAGACTGTGACATGTAATTTCTGTAAGTATCAAAGCAGTGAATTAATCCTATGCAATGAAGAAACTAATGTAGTATCCATTCAAGCCAGACTATATGCAATACAGGGATGTCCTGACCTAACACATGGCTATGGCTTGTGTGTATATGTCTCCATTCCATTAAAGAACACATCATTGTAATTCTTTAGGAAAGTTTCAAAGAAAGGCATTATTTTTTGGCATAAAACTACAACAATGGAAGAAGCTACATTTCATTTATGTTCTTTATTCAATAATGGTTAAGTGAAATGTAAAATGGCATAATACTTAAAAGAGAAGCACCAGTCTAGTAAAACATGTTGGTTTAAAACGTAATTCCTGGGGCTGGGGATTTAGGTCAGTGGCGCCGCTGTCTGCTTCGCAAGCACAAGGTCCTAATTTCAATCCTCGGTACCAAAAAAAAAAAAAAAAAAGTAGCTAAAACATAACTCCATCATGGACTACCCCTGTGTGCTACACAGCAAGTTCTTAAACTCACTGGTTTTCATGTTTGTCAGAAGAGGACAGCACCATCTCATGGGCCTTTGTCAAAAGGGCTTGGAAACATTAGTGCCAAATATGACTGACACCAGGCTCTAGAGACACACTCTAGGTTCAAATCCTGGTGTGTGGACTTAACTTCATTAATATTCAGGTCCTTCATCTATAAAATGGTGCTAATGAATTTACTTGATAAAGCTGTTGTGAGAATTTAACAGTCCATAAGTCTTCACAATACAGTACTAAAGACTAGGTGGATACACACATGGATCATCTCTTAATCATCTCAGCAACCTTACAAGGTATGATTATGAATAAATAGGAGTGGTTTTTACTTCAGCTACTTGGGCAAAAGTAGTAGCTATGTTAAATTATGAAAGTCTGCAGTTTATTGTATGACTCCAACTAGGAATATTTTCACCTTAAAAGAGAAGCATCTTTTCTCTAACCAATATTATGTATTTTATTAGTCAAAATTGCTATATGTCAAGTCTTGGAAACTAAAATTCAAAGTGGGTTAAACTTAAAATGAGATTAAATGAAAGAATTCTAGAGAAGCTCATTAATCAACAAAAGATTAAAAGATAAGAGTAATCCAGGGCCTGAGTCACCCACAGACAGTGCAGCTCTGTCTCCCCATAAAAAATTCCCAGAAGTTAGAATGATTGGGGTGGCATCACATGCCCACATTCTGAGATCATGGAGGTTAGTGACATAGCTCCCTCAGGACCACATGGAGTGAGTTAAAAGTAGTAGTCATGGTAATATGCTCCATGAGGGAAATAAGGGACCAAGACTTGGTAAGAAGAGTATTGACAGAGACATGCACTACAATTCTAAGCTAAAACTTTGAATTTACCTCTAACTGAAACACTCAAGAATAGGAATTTGCAACATAAATCATAGACGTAGATTCAAATTACACATGGTGGGTAAATTTCTAGAGTCAGCAAGTTAACTTCTTTAGATGCCTAATATGTTAGTTTCCTAAAGAAATATTTGGCTAGAATCTTTAAAATACTTTATTTCAGAAATTATGTACAGAATGCTAAGTGAAATCTACCTTAATACATCTGCAGAAGGCAGTTTTCAAAAATTGAAAACAGCGATGGACATTTGTTCCTCAATAAAGGAGTGAATAAAGTGAAACAGAAGCCCATTTACATGGCCCATGAAAAAACAATATTCACACAATGGAATGTAACTTCAAAAACATTGTACATGCCTGAGATTTTCAAGAGATCTTTTCCTCATCCTTAAGAAACATTTCCCACTCCGTTCATCAACAGATAGCCTCCAGCAATATAATGGCAATACAGCACAGTATACAGACACTAGCTTGGTGAAGACAGAGAAGCAAGGTACTTTCCTTAGTAACAATTATAATACTTAGCATAACAATAATATATATTATTACTTAGTAATAATAGTAATAAACATTTATGCAATGTGGACAATGTTATTACTTAGTAATAATGTTCTAGTATTGTACATAGTTGATGATATTACTTGATAGCAATAATGTATATTCACACAATGGACTGCTACTGTGCAGTGAGAAAGGAATTAACTACTGACATAAGCTACAACATGAATGTATCTCACTAACATTAGGTAAAACAAAAGAAGGCAAACACAGCAGAATATATATTCTGATTTCTTTTATACAAAGCCCCAGAATATGTAAAACTAACAGCAATTAGAAAGTGGCTGAGTTTGGAGCGGGGAGAATAGATTTGCAGGATGAGATAAGAGGTTTCCAAGTGTGATGAAATTGTTCTATATCTTGTTTTGGATAGTGGTTACATGGACTGTCAAAAACCTATCAAATGAACACTGTGCATTTTGTTCCACATAAATTACATCACAAGGAAAACATGTGGTTTTAAATGTAACTGTTCAAGGAAAAGTTATTTGCCAGAGTAATTTTTTTGAATTCCAAATGATATATACTTTAGACAGAACAAGTCCTTTGATATTTAAAATTTCCAGTCACAAATAAGTATTTATAGATTTATGATTTTCAGAGCTAAAAGAAAGGAGACCAAACATCTCAGTTTGCTGTAGTCATTCCAGTGTAGGTTTGATACTATAGCACACTGTAATTGGTAAATATCCTGATTTACAAGCAGGCCTAACAGTCACTTTAGCCAAAGGGAAATTTAGATATTATGTAGTACAATGAGCTCCTTCACCTTTTCATTTCAACCCACATTTACTAACCACCTATAATATAGCTAAACACAGTTCCCTTCTTCGTGCCAGCTCTTCATATTGTTTCTCTGTCTTTACCCCCCAAATATAAAATGGCTAGCTGGATTGTCCCTAAACATAAAATTTACACCTGAGGACAAACTAAATATAGAAGAAATCAATGAGAATTTTTTCCTAAAAGAAAAGTATATGAATAGCTTATGAAAAAGTTAAAATTTTCTGACCTATGAAAAACAAAGCACATGAAGACATTCACAAATATTAAATAAAGAAAACCTTTACCTGCAGCTCTATAAAGTATTTTAGGTTCAAAAAATATACAAGGGTTTTTATCCTCTATGCATGACAGAAGAAGTCCCTTGGCCTGAAAAGGGCTTCTGGGTATAACAACCTGCAAAAACAGATTTTTTAAAGACAATTTTAGTGAGAATGCATCCCATTAAAATCTTTTATAAGTGCTGATTTTAAATAATCAATTATGACTAATTAAAAATAGTAATCTATTTATTGTAGCCTAATTACCATTTATTATGAAGTTTACATATTGCTCCTCCAAAATTCCTTTTGTTCAACAAATATTTAGAGGATGCCTTCCGTTCTGACAATGAAGACATTATTCCTCTCTTAAGGAGCTAACTTACCTATATAAAACTTTAAAACTTACAAAGACCAGGGCCGGGGATTTAGCTCAGTGGTTCCGGAGCCTGCCTCAAAAGCGCGCAGTCCTAAGTTCGATCCCCAGAACCAAAAAAAGACTTACAAAGAGCATATATTAAAGCCAAAAGAATTATCAATACCTGTATATACCTATAAAGTAATTTCTTCTAATACTATACTATACTCTCAAAATTCATACAACTTTCATTTTTTATTGTATTATGTATTGTGCCAAAAATCTCCTTCCTTCCCATGAAAAAATATAGTCTTCATTTCATTCCAACTGAATTTCATGATCCATCCACTACATTGCCTCCTTCTTGCAGAATAAAAAGAAAAGTGTGAATATTTCATACTCCAGGTGACAAAAAAGGACTCCAGGACCATTTGTTTTGTTTTGTAGTACTACAGATTGAGCCAAAGGTTCTAACCTACATCCATTTTTTTTATCCACTTTGTTTATTTTGAGACAGAGTCTTGATAAGTTGCCCAGACTGGCCTTGAACTTGCAGTCCTCATGCCTCAGTCTCCTGAATGAATTACAGGCATCTTCCACTATTCAGGACCTTTTTGAGAATGAGGGTGCAGATATGGAAGGTGATAATAACAGCAGGAAGTGGAGATGTTAATTTAGCCAAACACTATGTAAATTAACTCATCTACTGTTCATAGTAAGCTCAAAAGTTATCTGTCATTATTTTTCCATTTAAAAAGAGACTGGAACTTAAAGAGATACCAAGAACCTTGGTCAAGATCAATTGTTTGCTAGACAAGGGATTTTCACCCAATTTTGATTGATGCTAAAACACAAGCAGCATTTAACTTACCATACCACTTCAAGTCACACGATTGAGGCTAATTTTAGTAACGATAAAAGAATTTCTACAAAGACAAGTATTACACAAAAAGAATTCTTAAAATAAGCCTAATTTGTCACAAAAACTCAAATAAGATTCCTTGAAACAAACCACTAGGAATTCAAAGTCATTTTTATCCGATTTTCATTGAAGGAATTTTATTTAAAAAATAAAAGAGCTGCACAAATCTATTCTGCCTTCTGTACATGAAATTCTGAACAACTTATAACTATATCAATGACTTTAACTTGTATTCCTGCTTTTTAGTTTCTTTTTATTCACTTTTTCTTATTTTATTGGTACATTTTAGGTATACAATATAATGACATACATCATTGGAAATTTGCACCTTTACATAATCTCTCTTGGTTCTTATTTTCCCCCTTCCCCT